GATAGAAGTTGTAAAAATCGGCATAAAAAACGCCTTAAATCCAAAAGTCTCAAGGCAATAATATAGTAAAAAAGTATTTCTCATACTATTATAACAATATGGTTTTAATAATGGTTTAACACCCTTGGTTAAATCTCTCCTACATTTTTGTTGTAATGATAAAGGTTCAACAGATTTGTTTTCGTCATTTTCTTCTAAGTATTTTTTTATATGACTTAATTCTCCCGGACGACTATATTTTTAACAATTTCTTCTAAAACAATGCAAAGAAACGTGTTTCTTCCTTTCCTATATGACATTACCTTCTAAACCAAAACAAAACAGTTTCTCTTCATCAAATATTTTATCATTTGAAAATTTAAATCCATTTTTTTTCATTATCCATTTCTTCAAATATTTTTCCTTCATTAATATATTTATTAAACATTCATCACATGAATAATAACCATATGTCTCTTCATGATAATCTCTTTTCGTTTGTTCCAATAAATCAATGCAATCGGAATAATAATCTTGCTCATTTTCTCAATTTCTTCGTAGTATTTTAAGATTTCTTTTCCCGATGGCATATCCGTTTATAAAAAAATAATTTTTTGAACTTCAAATTTTTTTGTACACTGACTTAAAATTGATTTTTGTCCTCTCCGACTGACAGGAGTGATGTCAAAAAGGAGGATTTTTCTCAATGTAATGAAAAAAGATTGAATGTGTGACTACATATAAAATGTCCCTTCTAGTACTCTTTCCCGTCATTTCTCCGGTTTTTTCCCCCGAGGCCCCGAAAGAGGCTGAGGTCATTATTCTGTTATTTTTAAGCCAGGTTCATTCCGTTTTATAGAATAGTTTTTTTTTTTTGAGTTTTTTAAATTTTATGAAAAATAATGACAAACGTTAATCTGTCTGAATTTAAGTCGTAAATGACAGAAAGGAAATGACAGGCATTAAACTTATAAAATTTAACTCCCAAAATTAAAATTGGGGATAATGACGGAATGTTGATGACGGAAATAACCAGGGATGAAAAAGTCTAAGTTAAAACATTGGATGACGGGAAAAATCGAAGAAATGACGGAAAAGATATCTTTAGAAATGGCGTAGAAGGGACATTTTATTTGTAGTTAGGTTCAATGAACACAGAATGGTTTTTCAATTTTTGAAATTATGTCCGTGTGGAAATGAATCTGCCACCTAAAAAAGAACAAAATTTAAGGCTGAAATTAAAACACTAGAATTAACACCTATAACGATCGGACTGTGTAGATTCAGACTTATTTCATCAAAATTGCATATCATTAAGCAAAAACAAGGCGTCCAGCAAATGATAAGAACGGGTAATAGTTGACATTACAGTTGCCCCCGCGCTGTATATTGTCGGTCAATAGTAATCTTGGTCGTTGTGTTCGTTGTGCTCTTGAAATATACCGATGATAATGAAGATTTCCACATATTCCATACAATAGGTGAGATAAAAACAGGAAACACAGGGTTCCATTCACTGATTCAGTTCGATTTACACAGCTTTGATCAAAACATTCTCAGTTACGAGAACAGTTTATTCTAAACCATAAGAAAAGATTTAGTTAGTAGTTGGAGGTTTTAGTTATTTTTCTTTCACTTTTTACATACAGTTCATTTTAATTGCGGAAAGTAAGTCTTAGAAATTCAAATCTAGGTTTGGTCAATTCACGCTCGCGCGTTCTAGTCCGTTTTTAAACTTTACAGGAGGACATCTGTGAGCAGGGAATAAGTCAGCGCAGTTTAATTGTTGGCGAATTTCTGTAATCGTCCATCGTCACTACATCGTTCTGCTAGTGACAAGCTAGCCGTTGATTCACTCGTCTTGCTAGTTTGTGGACTGAGAGTCTTATTCCCCCAGAAAGAGAGGAAGAGTGTCTGGCAAATTGTTTCCAATCAAAGATTGGTGAACTCGTGTCTGGCAAACTCTCCAAGTGTTTATATATACACAGTTATACGCACCCTATAACTTCATCTGCCCTTAACGAGTGTCTTTTGGCCCAAAATGCACTTGTCACTGGAACCCCCCACCCCGGGGAGACGTGGGGCATACGTGGGGATTTGCAAGTGCTTAGATGACTTACCAGCCTCTAGTGGGTGGGGGCAGTGATAAGTGCATAACTTTCAAAACAGCTGCTCCTCAGAATATCACTGATAACACGTAACGCAAAAGAGTACAATAAATGTCACAAAATCTGCCTAAGCGGTCCCTTCGGGATTTTCTGTTTTACGTCATCCTAATCATCTCTTACTTACGGGCGCGAACAATAGAAACGTCATCATTACCCAACGATTCCATGCGGCCCCTGTTCAAGCAAATCGAGATTTTTTCCCTGGCATACCGTGACTGCATACAGCTATTTCGAGAAAGGTTGTCGGAAAAAGTGCACGCAACAATCCCAAAAGGTTTTGTGGGTGGTTTTGACTTCACTTTTCTTCAAAGAAATTTGAAAGAATGGCACTTGAGACCATGGACATATGTTTGCGAGTGCTAAAGGAAAGCACCACAAATAAATTCGACAGCTACAATCATCAGGAACAGCGGTATTGATCATATCCGATGTTACCTTTCAGGATTGTCGCGTGCGCATTTTTTCCGACAAACTTTCTCGAAATAGCTGTATTTCAGCTGTAGAGTGCCTCCTCGGGATTTCGCCTTCTAGGCGAAATCCTTGCGGGGGCAATAATCTTTACATATTTCTTTGAATTGTTTCGTTAATGATGTCTCCTAGAATTTGGCTGATTTAAATGCGAACTCACAATATTAATCGGGAGGTTGAGCGAGATCTGCCGTGGAAATAGAGACAAATAATGCCATTAATACTGTTTCTTTACGTTACCTTAAGTTTTCTAATTACTTCAGATAATCTTTTGCTGATTTTGGCTGTTAAATCGACTCGTTCCCTCCAAAAGGCGGCGAATTTTTCACTGGTTTCTTTAGCAGTGGCTGATTTATTTGTTGGCGTCATTGTGTTGCCCCTGAGAATAGTGGAAGCACAGGCTTTCAGTTGGTCGCGAAGTATATTTTGGTGCCAATGTTCCCTGAGTCTGACTTTGTTCAGCTTGTCAGCTACGATGCTGAACCTTTTGATTCTAACGATTGAACGTTATTGCGCTATCATCGTACCTCTCTTTTACCAAAGCAAATTCTCCTCGCGGAGAATTTTCTACGCCATAGTAGTAGGTTGGATGGTGGCTGTCATGATATCATTCCTACCATTTGTAGGCTTAAAGAACAAAACTGCTCAGGAGCGAAGCAAACAGCACAGAATTTGTAGATTCGCAGACACGATGAGCGCCGAATATCTGTCATTTTTTTCTGCCGTTGTTGTTTTATTTCCAACTTTATTCATCAGTTATGCCTACGTTAAAATTTTCCTGGCTGCAAGCAAGCTTAGACGTCGACTGAACTCTCTGCAGATTCCCAGAGAAGGAGAGGAAATCGTGTCGGCGTTGAAGGAGTCGAAAACCGCGAAGAACATTGGTGAGTTGTACTTAATGTTTAATTTAACCATACATTTTACCTAAGGAAAGAATTTCCCTGGCGAAGATTTTAGAAAGCAACCTACCACACTAAAGGAAAAGGAAAGTTTATAATTTTCAAGACCAGTATACTTAGTCCTGAAAATTATATTTTAAAAGTCTGCTCGGGTGATTGAAATCTGCTTGAATTAATTCCTTTATCATATTTCGCCAGCCCAAAATGCAATGAATTTCATCAGATTAACTGCTAAAAATGTTGTGGCGGCGTAGGTTTCAAATTTTGATTAACTGCCCGATCTCTTTCAGACATTTTTTAAAAGTCTTTTTACTTACTCTTTTTTGGAATTAAACTGAATTATACTCGGTTTTTGCAATTAAACAATTTGAAGTCATAAAACCCCGTCCTTAGAGATTTCAATGCTCTGGTTTTAAAGTCCCGCTGCCTGCTAAATTCAGAAACTCGCTTAAACGAAATTTTATTTTTCTAAATCAGGAGTTGTAAATGAAAAAAGTGGAGAAAAACCAACGGGTATTAATGCATGCATGCATTTTGCTTCGTACGCGACCATCTGAAATGCGTTGCTTGTGTGAAACCTTTTTTCTTTTCTAAAAGTATACAACAGCAGGTGATCAATCGATCATCTAACTATATTCTTCTAACTTATGCTGACATATAATAATAGTATGAATATCGATCTATTCATGTCTATTCAATGCTAGGCAGTCAGTCGAAACACTCTGACAAATATCATTTTTGCTGCCTACAGACTGGCCTACGGCAATAGCCCAGCTTCGATCTATTAAACTTCAGCTCACGCCCTAGTCAAAAAGTTAGACTTAAATTGCTTATTTTCCCTCGAGGTCTTCTGCTTCTACAGGCCCAGGTTGAACTTTTATTATATAATTTAATACTCTTAACTTTCTGCTCTGTGCCAAATTCTGGAAACTGATTCGTTGATTGAAGCAGTGTGTTATAATGACTTTGATAACGCACTATTTTCATGCTTTCATTACATCTCTCCATTTCAGAGACCTTTTATAAACTTGACAAAGTAATTTTTCAAAACTTTGAATTATCTTAATCTGAGAAAACAGCAAATATTTCGCAACGCTACCACTGGTCTCCCGCTAAATCAGGGGCACCCAAAGAGAAATTTTCAGCAAAAGACCTAAAAACAACAAATTAACAAAGCATGAATAAAGCTTTCTGAAACCATTTTAATTAAGCATTTTTGGAGATTGCTGGCAAAAAATTACCTGTAGTGTTGTTTCTTACTCCCAGCAAGACTGATGGAAGAGTTAAGAGCCAGCAAGGTGCACCTACAATCTGCAACCTGACTTACTAGAAAGTTTCCCAGCAGACGTACGTACAGACATTACTGCCCAGTTTGGGTGTGGTCATAGGGAAAAATTCAGCCCTTACATCAAATCAAATCCCCTCAGACACCATGAATTGCCTACCTCCCAGCAACTGTTTCCTTCCAAGGACATATTACTCGTTCCAAGTCTTCCAGCCAGCAAAAATTTGCTTGAAGAACAGATATTTTGAGAAACAGATCCATTGGGTGCCCCTGCTAGATGACGTCTGAGAAACGAGCGCAGAAATTATTCCATACTGACTACAGTAGTTATAGCTATCGTTAAGTGCCAATGAGCAAAGATTTTACCTATACGCGCGCACTGTTCAGTTTGTTTAGAAATGTCATGAGTTACCGGAATTTACGAAAAATAGTTTGAACTCAATTCGATTACATAAGCAAAAATTACCTTAAAAATAGTGAACTAAACTGTTCTACTGCATAAAGAATTTGAAATACCGACTTTATATAGCATATTTTTCGAGAAACTGAAATTCGTGTTTTTGCCCGAAGTTGCGCACAGGTCATTTTGCGTAAAATTTAGTTGTCCTATAAGCGAACTTAGAATCCTCGAAAAATCATAAGTCCGCGAATATTCAATGTATAGATTTGTATTTAGTCTCTTTTTAAAGCTTAAGGTGTCTACTTTTCAGAAAAAAAAGATTTATGGTGCGCCAATGAAGCCTTTCTAATTATTTGTCTTGAAAGGCAGTAATTTTTCCGGCGTTATAATTTTTTCCTAGAGGCGTAAACAGCCAATGTCTCTATTAGGTTTCTTTTTAAGGCTAAGGAAGTCTACTTTTCAGGAAGAAAAAAAAAAAGATTTATGGTGCGCCGAGGAAGCCTTCCGAATTATTTTGCTTCAAAGACACAATAAATATTGCGGAGTTATTATTTTTTCCTAGGGGCATAAACAGGTAGCAGTGTATTTGGGTAAAATATTTTGAACTCAATTCGATTGCATGACCGAAAATTGCCTTGCAAACCGTGAACTAAACTGTTCGGCTACTGCATAAAGAATTCGAAACATTGACTTTACATAGCATATTTTCTTATAGTCTTTGTTCTGCATTACGTCATAACAGTTACTTTTCACTACCTTAATATGTTACATCATCGCTTCGAGATTCCTTCTCCCTTGGAACTTCCGCGCACGGCTTTATTATGCTGCCCCCTCGCAGCCTCGCGTCTTGGCGCGCCTGCTCGTTGGCAGTAACGTGTCTACGCAGATCTGGGTTGCGCTTCTGATTGGTTGAAGCAAAATTTCCCACGCGACACGACCAATCAGAAGCATTACCTAGACCTGGATAGTGACGCATCATCAGTATGGAATTTCTGCGCTCGTTTCTCACACGTCATTTAGAGGGGGAAACCAATGGTGGCGTCGCAAAATGATGTCGGTTGGTTTCTCAGGCTGCGTGCATGCGTGCGTGTTGGCAGTGGTGTGCAAACGAATGCAACAACTCCCAACAATGCTGGGACCTGCAGTGCACCGTAGGAAGGATACAACCCATAAGACTTTGTAAACCATGAGTAATGAACGTGCGTGGCCCTAACAATGTTGGAAGACCTGTGCAAACGGATCCAACATTGTTGTGCTACGCTTCGGTGATCACGGAACAAAAGAAATGTTGGGAGTTGTTGGCTGAAAAGTTTGACCGGTTTCAAACTTTGCGCAACGACACGCAACAACATCCAACAGCATGCAACAGGGTGTGCAAACGGACGCAACATGAAACATCCAACAATGTTGGGAGTTGTTGGCGAACAATGTTGCTTCCGTTTTCGGGGGGCTTCAGGCGAGAATTATCTTAGATTTGTAGGATCCTTCTGGTGAGAGCATTTTGGTCTCTCTCATTGCTTTCTGTAAAGAATCAAGTGGTGTTGATTTTGAAATGAAAGAAATTCTAACTAAACTACACAAATTCAGCTGTATTTTGGCCTATCATCTTCATCCGATTAGGGTTATTGTTAGTTTAAAATGCTGAGAGCTTGACTGAAAAGTTACTGCTACTCGAGGAGAAGAACTGAGTAACCTTGCTGACGACGGTTGTAACAGCATCCATCAGTTAATTAATTTAGACTGAAGGATGATGATGTTGTAACAAATTATCAAAAAGTTTCAGACGGTTTCGAGTACTATAACCCTCCTTCAGGGTAAATTCACACCCTCTATAGGTACACCCCCTTAATGCGGACACCTCGCAAGAGAGAATGATGTACACCTCGTTATTACGGACAGTTTGCTTTATACCTGGGGAAAGAAAGCCCTTACATTTTCTTTAAAATCGACCCACTTAATATGTACGCCCCGTTAATACGGACACTTTCTATGCATGGTCGCTATCTGACTGAGTGTCCGTACTGACGAGGTTTGACTGTACGGTAAGCCGGCCTGTCATTTCCTTCAGGAAGGACATTTATTTTCGACACTTTATAGGAAAGGGTCAGAAATTAATTCGGATTATTATGTCAATGGCAGCTCGTAATTGGTTTTACTTGTTTGAAAGTTGATTTTCGTGGTTTTTTCAGCAGACTTCCGTGGGGAAGGAACGCGTGCCGAAGCCCCGCACGCTGACCATTATAGCCGGGCCACGCTGCCGCCGGACGCTGCAGCACCTTTTGTGTCTACCACTTCAAGATAATTTTAATCTCGATGATTTTTACAATGCATCTCTTTGTTTTTTTCCAGGAATAGTGGTAGGCGCGTTTTATCTGTGCTGGATTCCATTCATGGTTGCAGTCATCCTGAGTGCCTTTTTCAAGAAGTTAATAACTCCTGTTGTAGTTCTTGTCATATCTACACTTGTCTATAGCAACTCTGCTATGAATCCAATCCTTTATGGCTATTTAAATCGCGAGTTTCGTTTACCTTATAAGAGACTGTTTTCAAAATTTTTTTGGCCGTGCAAGTAGATGGTCCACGCTCATCAAGGAAGATTCCGAAGTCACGATTTGTCAACCTTTTCAGTTGGAGATGTCACTGGTCATTCTCCAAGTGACAGCGCTCCTAAGTAGTTGCATATGATGGTGTGATGGCTAAACTGACGTGTCCCTATTGTACCTTTTACACGAACTTTAAGTCAACCTTTCTAATATTTATTTTTTAATCATTGTATATACTGTGTAGACTGTGTATGGCTGGTCCTGGTTGATAATTATTGGCTAAAAATCACCAAAGTCACCAAGTAAGCACACACAACCACCACCTGCCTCCAACAACAACAACGAGCTTTATTTGCATGACCATACAAGTTCATACAGTATATTGCAAAAGCTATTTTAAGAATCAAAATTACATCATAGGGAAATTACGTTACTTTGGTAATAATTTGTTAATACGAACATCAAAGCAAGCTGAAATATATTTTATGAATTGTATATTGATAAAGTAATTAGAGGAGTTCATCAGCTCATTGATCAAAACGTTTACAGGTAACTGCATGGATAATATTTTGAATCAGAGTCTTGATTATATTGTAAAAATTATTCCTTATCATAGAGTGATTTAGGACAGTGGAAAAGAAAGTGGACTCCGCCTTCTATTAGAGAGGACCCAAAAAAAGAGCAATGCCTATTATCCTTCGTAGTTTGATTGTATCTACCCAATTCTATCATTAAGTTGTGATTGCTTATTCGAAGTTCTACTAAAGCCAATACCAATACAGAGGTATGGGTAATACTATCATGAATGGGAACAGTTCCCAGCAAGCGTTTGGGGATGGGATCAGCTAGCTCCATTTAGGGTTACTTAATTTATTTAAGTCCCACTTTTGGAAGTTACTGTTTTTTGTATCAGGTATCAGCCAGAGTAGAGACCTGTCTGCGCGCGTGAAATCATTATCAATGGCGCTCGTGCTTTAAAAAACTCCAACAAACCATACATTTTCTGTAAGATTTTCTTTAAGATTTAAAGTTGAATATTATGTCAGTAGTGTTTTTAGTTCAATTACGTGTCTTAATAAATCAGTGAATTTTGTTTGCAAGAAGACGTTAACATACATACATACGTTATTGCCACTTCCCCACGGGGAATTTTCAGAGGTAATAATAAATAAAACTTACATAAAATAATTATTATTAATTAATAATAAATAAAATTAAAAAATGAGAAAATTCAGGACCGTTTATTGAAGAAGCAATATTTCGATAATTTTCCAAGATTTTGCCTCGAGTTGAAATGGACTTAATCCTGTCGTGAGGTACTTTCACTCGCCATGCCATCAAAGGTCCCCTTAACTTACCATGAGAAAGTCAATTCATTTTTCCTGATCAGTGGGCAAACCATGAGGGATTTTTTCCAAATAATTAACGGAGTTAAAATGTTGGCCCGACGTGTTTAACTTTTAATCTGCAATAGCCCTCTTAGCGAGTGAATATCAACCATATCATATTAGCATCTCACGTATCTCACAGCCCACTGATTCATACTCAAATTGGAATCACGTCTCATTTCAAGAATCAAGCAACTGATATTCTAAGAGGTACTCCATCTTTGACATAGCTGTCTCTATTTTCTAACAGACGAACATGCCGGTGCATACCCTTTACCGTTCACTTATGGAACTCAACAACGATTGGCAGTCTGACGGCTTTAATTATGTTTATCTCTTTTTGAATTTATATCAGAAGATACAGGGATTTCTTGTTTTCTTTTTGATATCCTCTCTCTTCCTTATATGAAGGGTGTACCATTTCTCATAAGGTTTGCGAAAGGGTGCACCGCAAAGTTTTTTTAAAAATAATATTTAGTCTCGCATTGTTGAGCACCTTTACTTCCCTACGTCACTTAACCAGGTTCTTTGGGTGTGGCGGAAATGTCAGATGAAAATACAACTGATTTGGAATTAAAACCATTACCTTTACGTTTACGTTATAGAGTATTTCAGTTCGGAATAATTGTTTCGTCTTCTTAAATGAGTATGGGCGTTTTTGCTCTTTTTCCCCTCTGTGACCAGTAAAATAGCAGTTTGTGTCCCCCCCTCCCTCATCCACGTCGCCTCTAAGGGGTCTGACACAAGTTTTAAGCCATTTCACAACTTGCGAAAGAGCAGGATCTTGGTTCTAAGTCGCACATAGACTGTCCCTTGACGAGCTCCATATTCACGGACTGAATCAGGGTGGCATATCTCGTGTCCTTAACTGATGCATCCTCGTACAATACAATACAATACAATACAATAAGAGTTTATTGTGAAAATACACTTAGCTACAATCGTCGAAGGGAAGACGGGACAACCCATGCATCTGCATTACCATGCAACTGACCCGAACTATGTTCCACCTCAAAATCAAAGTCACTAAGTCGTTCAAGCCACCTGGCCACATGTCTTCTAGGATTTTTCAAGTTTTCTAGCCATGGCAAAGCACTATGATCAGTCCTGGACAGAAAATGTTCACCATAGAAGAATGTCTCGAAGTTCTCCTTTGCCCACTCAAGGGCAAGCAGTTCATTCCGGAGGGTGTTGTAATTCCTCTCAGCCTTTGATGGTGAACGCGCAGCGTATGCTATTACACGTTCCCTCCCACTCTGAACCTGAGACAACACCGCCCCTAGTCGACTGTGACTGGCATCACTGTCCAGGATCAACGGTACCCTCACCTGGGGAAAAAAGGATGGGGGCATTCGACAGTTTGCGCTTAATGTCCAAGAAGACTTCCTCGCATTCAGCTGTCCATCTAAAACGGTTCCGTTCCCTTTTTAGCATAAACGGTGCAGAGGGGACGCAATGTGGGCATAGTTTGGCACAAATTCACGATAGTAACCAGCAGTCCCCAGAAATGATCTGAGCTGACCCTCATCAACCGGCACCGGCCACTCCTTTATGACTCTTACTTTCTCTGGATCGGTAGATATGCCCTCCCGTGACACGACATGACATACATACATATAACATATACTTTATTTATGCTCGAAATTTACAGAGTAGCTGTAGAGCTAATGTATTCGAGAAAATAAGTTAAAATAAAATAAAATATGCTATATTACAATTCCAATATTATTTATAAACTATATACAACATTATGCATGCAAAGGGAAATATAACTTGTAAATCTACTGTGGAAAAGCTTCATATCTGAAGATCTCCTGCTTGAATTCTAGAAAATTTAATGTTTTGTAAGTGTCTGGGATAGACACTTGTTGATAGAGTTCCATATTTTGCTAGCTAAGTATGAAAAAGAGTGCAGACCGTAAGTGATTGTTTTTGGGTTGGGAAGGGCCACGATATGATTTCCGCGCAAATTGTAGGATGAAGATCGTACGGTGAACACATCTTTTAAATAATCTGGATAATTCGTAAAGAACAGACTCTTATATAAGGTGATCATGAAGTTCTGGAGGCGTCTAATGAATAGAGATTTCATGTTAACTTTGCTTAGTAAAATGTCATATGGAGAGCTGTAGTCCTGGGCTGAGTTGTTCAAAGCTGGGTTAAGATAACCCAAGGTTAGTGCGAGATTTTAATTCAGATTTGAAAGCTTAAAAAGCATTTCAGTTTTAATTCTTTTTGTCTATAAGATGATTGTTGGAAGCTCTAAAAATGACAGAGAAAATTATCCTCGAAAACGCAAGAAAAAGAACGCAAGAAAAAGAAACCCAGGTTAAATTTAACCCCGGGTTAAGCGCTAACCGGCCTTCGAACAACTGGGCCCTGTAGTATAAACCTAAGAATTAATGCGCTTATTTAGGTTATGCACTTTTTCGGCATGACCTAACACAACAACCTTTCCCTGCAAAAACTTGCATTTCTCTGGGTTAATCTTCAGACCTGCTTCTCTTAAGGGTGATGCGTTAAGTGACAGTCTCTCCCTATGCTCCTGCAGTGTACGGCCAAAGATAATAATGTCATCTAGATACTCTAGACAGTCCGACCAGCATTAAATAAATAAGTGGCTGATATAAATAATAAACTAGCTCGATGAGCAGACAAGTTGTCTTATTGTATCTTTAACGGATTGCCTCACTTCTCGGATCTTCCAGCTGTACAGCAACAGGTTTAATGAAGAGTTTGCGAAAACTAACGTCTTAGCTATTTGTCTAAATCGGTAAAACCAAAGGCATCCATTCTTGTCGCTTTGTTAAAACCATACGGCAGATACTGTGGGTACAGGTAGCATTGATTGTTTGTTGCACTGTACACTGCCTTTTTGTATTGAGCGGTATCCATAGAAACTGGGTGGCTTAGTTGTCCTTGACAGACGAACAAAGATCAGTTTGTGTAACAGTAAGCGGGTGTATACCGGTATGCTGATGTCCGATCTCAACCAAAGATCACTTGTTTGTAAAGCGCATTTGAATATGTCAATAGAAAATGCGCTATATAAATTCATTACCATTTCCATTACCATGATTTATGCCTAAGACATCATAAGTCATCCTTGTGTAGAATGATTTCAGGCCGCGGTTGTTCAAACGTTGGATAGCGCAATCCACCGGATAAATCACTATCCAGCGGCGAGCGTAATTGATTTCCGTAATACTTATCCGCTGGATAGTGATTTATCCGTGGGATAGCGCTATCCAACGTTAGAACAACCGGGGCCAGAACTTTAATTCCGCAAAGGACTCAGAACTCACTAGATAACAGATTTCCGTATTTCTCTGAATGAATAGGCTTTCTACATGAGAGATCGAGACGCTAGACACTACAAGTTCCATGTGCAAAGTAAAAACTCTCGATACAAAGTGTCAATCAAATAATGAAACTCTCCGATTTACGTATTCGAGTAACGCAATAGAATACAATGTAACGCAATTCTCTTCCAACAATCCTTACTACATTTTGGTATCAACTTGAATGATTTGGCCACGAAACAGAGATTCAACAGATAAGGTTTCAAGTGCACATGATCTAAATGTGCTTTTCAATACACTGTTAACAATAACAATACATAATACGCAAAAAAGAAGAAGAAGAAAAGAAAGAAAAGCGTATGGACCTTTAACACGATATTCGCGGTTGGTCACCCGTCCAGTTCGTAACCCCGACCGACAGGGCTTAACTTGAGTGCCGTTACCAAACCGAGTTTCGCGAAGGTTATTGCGAGATACATATTTCTATAGAGTTAAAAAGTTATTCAGCAGTACTGCAATTGTTTGGCATTAAAGAACTTGATTTGTCAGACACAAATCAGCAACGTGGATCGACAGAACTTTGAACTGGTTTTGTCAACGTAGATCGACAAACTCGATTCAAACCACATCAGGAATAGCTCAAATTTCTCAAAACCCAGTCAAAGACAAGAAAGGTGCTATCGTGAAATAACCGGGTTTTGTTCTATGTTAAGGTATTCAGGGTTTAATAAACAGTGGTCCATGTGTTTTTAGGGTTAGTTTACTGCGAAATCCCGATTATTTTATTTGCTACAAGGACATGCCAGAAAAAATGAACTGGGAAACATCTCAAAGGTGAGAAACTTAAAACAGTGATCCATATTTTTGTAGGGTTAGTTTATTGCGAAATCATTTATATCAGTTTATTGCGTTCGACGTTGCGTTCTCAAACTCATTAATAATTCATTAAGAAAATACAAAGGAAATTAATGTTTAATGAGTGTTTGGAAATCGGATGAAACACTGCTTAGTATTTGCATCCTTAATTTCTCCTTCAAAAATGATTTTGTTTGAGAAGAAATATCAAACATTCGACACAGTGTTTCATCACCAGAT